ATTCTCCAAATAGCAGATATCACCCTCCGAGTTGTCTTCTTGCTGCTTTTGCCATGTTTTTAGCTATTATTCCGCCTAGTTCCAGCTGTAGTTCTTACTCTTGAAACGAATGAAAAGCCCGCCATTGTTTTTTCACAACCAAAACAACTCAACCTCGTCTCCAGGTCTTCTCGGTAACGGTGCCTTAACCTGTAGCGGGCTGCATTTTTGACGTAATTTCCTCGTTAAACACAAAATTCCTCCAAATTTGGTCATCATTAAAACTGGTTATGGTGAATTATGCGTGTGCAAGAAAGAAAATACACCAAAATCTGCTAGCATCGAAATATGATCGTAAGCAGCCTTCTGACGCTACTTAAGATTAATGTGAGTTATTTAGAACTTTTTTATTAAACATGTTATCGCAGCTATTGAAAATATAAGGTTGAAATATATTTTGTTTCATTTGAATTTAAAAACATACAGAATGTTTTACTTCTCACGGAGGTTATTTGCTAAACGCCGCATTTTTAGTTCCTGGTGTCGGATCACTGTTGTCATAGTGATATCGATTTTACTAAAAACTGCATTTCGACAAACTTCAGTTCATAGTCAATCACTGGTGAAAATTTTGTAGTGATCGGACAAGGATAAAATCCCTTTAAGGCGATTTAAAAACATTGGTATGGTCTCCCAAAGACTGTCTCGAAACACCTTAACTTAAGTTGGTTATGACGGAGATAAACTAACATCAAAGCCAGGATTCGAGCCAGGACTCGAGCTAGGACTTAAGCTATGACTTGAGCTAGGACTCGAGCCAGATAGGACTTCGAGCCTGGCCTCGAGCTGGCAGGACTCCAGTTAGGACTTTTCTAATCTTGCTGTAAGCAAAAAAAATAAATCAATAAATATAATAGATAAACAAATAAACAAAAGAAAAATAAAAGCAACAAAAAGGACTCCTAACCTAACTCGTAACCTCTTAACCCGAACCCTAACCGTAACTCGAGCTTTCCTTCCACGATTGCCACGAAAACCACTTGCAGGACGTGAAAATGACTCGAAAACGAAAAATTGTCGAGCTTTGTCGAGTCCTGCGTCGAAGTCCTGGCTCCCCTTCCTGGCTCGAGTCCTTATGGCTCGGTATAAAGGCATCCTCGTTATGACGCAGGTTAACTAAACTTTGCTCTATATGCCAGTAAAAACAGATCGCGTTCTAAAAGTACAACGTGAGTATTTAAAACAATCCGCGGTGATTGGTAAAAGTATTTGTCCAGTTCTAAGGCTGTTTCGGTGCTTGTTAGCGTTAATTCTGCGGGTTTCTAATGAAAGTTTGCAAGTCGGTTCAAAACTAGGAGAGGTCTCTTAATCCTTGAAATAGAAGCCGCCGTTGCTATGAACACGCCGCCGAAATAATAGGTACCGTAAATCCTCTATTAAGCCCCCGGGGGGGCTTATTTTTTCCAAGCACTTTTGAGGGGGGGGGGGGCTTAATAG